CAAACAAACAAAAACCAAAAACACCACAGTGATATTCCATTGCATGAAATGCTATTTCTCTCTACTATATAACAAAGTGTTAATGGGATCCAACATTGTGTCTTACAATGTTACTGATTTTTATATTTTGTTTAACGTGTTATTTTTGGAAGTACACAGAACACAACAGGCTCTGAAAAAATCAGTTTACTAATTAATGTAATATATAAAATGGTATTTCCCAAGCCCACAAATCAGGTATATTATAATGAAGTAAAATCTTTAGGAACTCACCTCAGAGCTCTGAAAAAATCCAATGCCAAGGTATACAAGGAACACATTAACATATTTGAAAACAACATTGAAAAATTGTCACTCTAAGTCTCCATACACATTGGATTAGCATATGCTTATAACATACATCCTCAAGTGCTTGGCCATAAGTACTTACCGAAATAGCTGGGACTTCTTCACTCTTTACTTCGTTTATTCGAACCAAATAGTTAACAAAGTCTCTGGCAGCATTGCTCTGTGCATCTTTTTTATTAGTGGAATTGCCCATGCCAATGTAATTATATCCTTCCACTCGAACCTTTAACAGTAAAGAAAAACATTTATTAAGAGACTGGCCTGGGTGCACTAGTAATTCTGGGACTTAAAAAAAAATCATAATTCAACAATCCATTAAGGGTTAACAGTTGACTATTGGAGATATACTCCATAAACACACTGCAAATAACAAATCTACCGTAAGCGAATATGGACTGGCTGCCTTATGAAAAAGCTTGAAGCATGATATCCAGTGATAAACTAATCCAAAAACAAGAATATTAAATTATGTGAATCAGAAATTCTCCTTTCATGCAACAGAATGTTCCACATTAAAATGCAATCTTATAAGACCCAAGAACAAGCTCTCTATTTCTATTTATTTTAAGCACTTTGATCTAAAGCAATGAAGAATTGCTCTACTTTCTACAGGAGTTAGCAAAACAGTGAACAACTGCTCTAACTTTCCTAATCTGTGCTACTGGTACTATAGAAGCTGAAGAAGATACATGTTCTAATTAGAATAATTCACCTAGCATATTGTTTTAAAAATAATACTCACCTGAAAATGATTTATAAAGATATATAATAGCAGGCAAGTCACAATCAAGAACATTATCCGATGTGTAACACATGACCATTTCCAAATAGAAAACAATGTTCTTTTAACACCAAAATAACATCAAAAATCCTATCAATATACAGTATTCTTTAGTACCTCACACATGAATTTCTGCCTGTTTTTGTTCCCCGCTGCTCTTATTTCATAGGTTGGGGCCATCTTCCTTTTGCCACACCAGGCATATAGAAAGTTTTTAACATCACCCATGATGCAGGTGTTGTCTTCAGACCTAAGAAAATAAAAGTTAGTTAAAAGCTGCATTACTTATAAGGATAAACTTTGGAAATTACCAAGCTGGAAATAAACAACTGGAATTTACTAAAAATCTAGGTTAAATACAGGATATTCTAATGCAGTGGTTCTCAACCTTCCTAAT